AACCATAAATAATCAGTCAGTTGAAAGAGTTACGTCCTACAAATATTTAGGGGTTTGCTTCACTGATACTAATGACCAGACAAGAGAAATCAAGACCCGAATAGAGAAAGCGAGACAATCGTTTGTTAAAATGAAAAAGTTCCTATGCAGCCGGGACATAAATATAAACTTAAGAACGATAATGTTAAGGTGCTATGTTTTCTCCGTTCTGCTGTACGGCATGGAAGCCTGGACACTGAAAAAGATAAACCTCAAAAACATTGAGGCATTCGAGATGTGGGTTACAGGAGAATGTGGAAAATACCATGGACAGAAAGAGTAACAAATCACGATGTTCTGCTGAAGATGGGGAAGGAATGCGAAGTCATAAAAACCATACAAACGAAAAATCTGGGCCACATAATAAGAGGAGAAAAGTAGTATCTGCTTAGACTCATAATCCAAGCAAAAATCTCGGGAGAAAGAAATGTGGGACGTAGGATTTCCTGGTTGCGAAATTTAAGGGAGTGGTATGGATGCAGTTCAATACAGTTGTTCAGAGCTGCAGCCAACAAAGTAAAGATCGCTGTGATGGTAGCCAACCTCCGATAGGAGACGGTACTGCAAGAAGATATTGGTTAGTAGAGATATGATGACTTCAGAACTAACTGAAGAGCCGTCATTTGTAAAGCAACATATTGTGAATAAACGTTAAAAAAAGAGTGAAATAGGCAGAGTTATGAAATGTGCTGAGAAGGGATCAAGTGTCGAAATAGAGTATGAATGTAAACTCTGTCCTAACACTCCCGGCTTTTGATTGGACTGTTGCATAATAGTTCATAAGTAAAAGCTTTTTTAATTTTAAGTTTTTTATTACAGTCCCTTATTAAAGCCCTTTTCTCTTGCCTTACTGCTCCACCATAGGCCGATCAGACACCAGCATATTCTGAGAGTTTTTAATCAATTCAACAAACCTGACATGAAAACCTACATGAATTAATTTGCTCAAAAGTATTTGGTGATCTATATGATCAATTGCTTTGGAAAATCTGGGTATATTGCATCTACCTGTTTACAGTCTTCCATATGTGATATCAGATTGATAGCAAACCAAGTTTGTTGCAGTGGATTTTTGCTATGAAAACCATGTTGTGATTGAGATATTAAGAATTTAAAAAACCAAGAACGTTGCTTTGCTATAAGACTGTCAAATAGCTTAAGCTGGCTTAAATTATATCGTTTATAAAATATTATTATTTAAATAAAATAATAAGTCTCAAAAAATTGTTGATTAATACTCGAAAAAATATACACAAATATAAGCTAATTTCAGCAATTAGCTACTATGTATTTAATAAATCTTCAAAAAACAACAACGACCACATTGTCATTGATAGTCTTATAACTACTCAGATTACAGTCTTTATATAACTGAAATAAAAGATTAAATAAAAAGTTAATTAAGTAAATTATTACTCAAAATCTCTAAAATAAAATGGTAAATAGAATATATTTTATACATAAAGATAGAACAGTAAAAATGGGGCCTCCATTGGAACTCTACATACAGAAAAAAGATTTCTTAATATTGAAACTATTTGAATAAACAGGGACGATCAAAATTACCGCATTTTATGTGAGTTTCACCACTGGACTTTAGCTTTCGAAAAGAACACTCAACGATACAATAGGTTCACAGAATAGTACACTCCATAAATTCTGCAATGGAAAGCAAACAGTATTGCACAGATGCTTTTCTAGACGTTAGTCAAGCCTTTGACAAAGTTCTAATTTTCAAAGTAGAGATATCTTCATATCACCTACCTGAAACAGAACAAGAGTGAATGAAAGTAATTCCAATAATTTTCCCACAAAATCTGGTATCACACAGGGCAGCGTTCTTGGACTAATATTATATGTGCTATACACATCAGATCAACCCTCCAATAATGAAACCATCACTGGTATGTTTGCAGATGTTTGCATTGTTGCAGTTGATGAAACCAGAACTATAGCATCTAACATTCTACAGGTACAACTGAATGAAATTGAGACATGGTCAAACAAGTGGAGAATTAAAATGAATGAAACAAAATGAGTCCAAGTGATTTTACCTTGAGAAGAGACCAGTATCCCCCAGTTTCACTTAACAATATCCAATTGAAATCGATTTGAAAGAAGATATTCATAAGAAGCGGACACAAATTGACCTAAGAATGAGAGATCTAAACCACAGAATAATAAACAATTAGAATGGCCACTCTCCATGGAAAATTAAGTACGCGCAGACGTTCCGCCATGTTTTAAAGGGAACCAGTGTTGTTCATGTGGTGTGCATAGAAAAATTAACCCAGTTTAATTGACTTAAGGCAATCATAGACATACTATACAATTATATTAACATTGTTAAATATAATAACATAAATATAATATAATTAAACATAAATATAAACAATTATATAACCTCAAATCATATGTCTGTGTTATGTGTTTCCTTCTAAAACATGGGGCGTGTGCTGAAAAACTTCAAAGGCAGCATCTGAGAGTGGGCATTCTGATGTTTATTATTCTGTGTCTAAACTAGCTAGTCGGTAGGAAATTTAAACTTACCCTAGTTAATGAAATCCTTGTCTACAAAGCTATCATAAAACCTATCTAGATGTATGGAATGAAACTCTGGGGATGTGCGAACAAGTCAAATACAACCATAATTCTAAGAAGCCAATTGAAAATATTGTTAACGATAACTGATGCACTCTGGTATGTGTCAAAACTAATGGTTGATAAATACCTAAGAATCCTGTTCATACAGGTTGTGAGGACTAGAATCACACAGTAACTCCTCACTTCAACATCTAATAGAACATAATGGCAATAGGAGACCCAAAAGGAACTGGTCAGCTGACATGAGAAACAGTTAAAGTGGTCTTGTCACTGGTAAAGACCTCACCAAGCCAATGGGAGCCCTTTGCTCTACAGCCAAGTTTAAATAGAAACCAGTTAAAAAATCAGTTAGGCCAAGAAAGCCAAAGCTAGAACATAGTAACTGTTTTCTACATTATACAATGTAATATCCCCACAAACTGAATTGTGATATTAACTTTGTATATTTACTTTTACTAATGTGTGATATTATATTAATAATAGTGGTACTGTCAAAAAGACTCAGTAATCTCTTCAGATTTTAAATCTGCCTATTACTGGAAACTATTTTTTCTGAGATACTCAGTATGCACAATGCTATTAAAAAAAGCCCAAAAATATATTACAGTATATAGTATGTATAATTGGCTAAATATTTTTTGTACAACAAGAACATGTAGTTCTGTTACAACTCTTATATTGTAGAACTGAAGTATAAGGACTTTTTCTATTTAGAAGAGTTTTCAGAATAAATAATTAAAAATAAAACTATTAACACAAATGATGAAAAAGATGACTTAAAATGTCCGAAATATTTAAAATCTAATTTATTCGCATTATTAAAGAAACATTTTTGATAAAGGTAGATTTATCTACACTTGAAAAAAAATTTGTTAAAGCTCTACGAATCAGGTGACATCCTGGATCATGACTATTATAAGTTGTCGCTAACCATGAATAAAATTGGTATTATTATATCTGATTTTTAATATCCCCAACGGTTTTACAACAAAGTCAGCAACAGGTCGCCAAAAACAGAACAGAATGGCTATGAATCTTAGAGCAAACCAGGTTCCACAACGGATTGTCAAGCCAAAGATGATGATGATGTTATTATAAATGAGTCTGGTATTGAGCACACTAGTATTCAAAGTGGATTAGAATATAAATAATTATGTACTACCCAAACTCAAAAATTCACAAACATTTGATTTTTTTTATTATTATATTTGACAATTTTTATGAGATTCCCGTTTTGTAATGATATTTACTTTGATATTTCTTAGTCAATAAATCAGTTTTAAATTTAGATGATTTTTCATTTCAAATTGAACTTTAAAACAGCCTTTTTAGTAAAACAGCTTAAAATCTGGCATTTTTAATTTATTGATTTTTGAATAACTTTCTGGTTTGTTTAGTCAAATTACCACATATCATACATTATAAATGAGAAAAAAATTAAGTATACCTTTTCTGGATTCATTCAACATATATTCCTTGTTAAGTACTGTAATTTGGTTTTATAGTTAACCATTAATACAATTTTCAAACTGTCCAGCAGACTTGGTTCTTCACATAGGCAAACTGATTTGATTTTATCCAAATTTCACTAAATTATTCTCAAGTTGATGAAATGAAATTTTGAGTGGCAAGTGATTATAGATAAAATATATTTCTTAATAGTTCTGGATAAATCAAACTGCATTATGGAGCTTCTAGAATATGCATTGATAAATTTGTTCTATTTATTATATTAAAACATTGGTGTTATTATACAGTTGTATATTATATTGTCAACTATAGTTGTATTTTATATTGTCAACCTAATTTCTGAATATTCACAATCTTCGTTATATATACTCATTAAAAATAACTGTTTTTTAACTAAACATCCTGAATCACAGATTTTTAACATTACTTTTTACTTTTCAATAAGGGGATCTTGTAAACATAGAAATAAAGGATTAACTTAACCCTCAATAAAACATCACTAGGTCACCTTCTTCAAATGAAAGCAGAACTATTCGGACAGACGCCATTTTCAAGTTTGCAATTTGATTTTTTCCAATAATTGCATATTAATTTTTAGTTTATTGTTGATTATTTGAAAACTTATCAAATCGGCAAGTTAAGCGCGCTGGATGTAGGGGGCATTTCGACAAAAATTTCTACAATTTAGCACGCTGGCGCTGCCATCAATTGGAGTAACGGACGAAAATGGTGGTCTAACAAAACCAAGTTTTTGAAGGAAATTCATTGATTTAAAGAACTTTCGCCCCGTTACCACAACTATGTACCAAAAGCTAAGAAAATATATATCCTACGTGTGAATAAAATGCTTTAAACATGCATTATCGGAAAATGACCAAAGTTCTTACCCTTAACTCCAAGAATGTCCTGTGAGGGCGTGTTATAATGGCTGCGTCTTTTTTATCGAATCAGAGATGGCGAGGCTGGCGTCAACGTAAATGTTTCACGAAAACCATAGCACAGTATTGTTTATACTGTGACGTCTGTGACCATAGATAAGAGGGTTAGGACAGGGTTAGGTTAGAAATTAGAAAAACAAGAAGAAGAATTTCATTTGCTGGTGGGTTGGTTGTGTTTTGCTTGTTTTTGTTTATTATATGTCCGATTTCAAGTCTCATTCTCATAATTTGTTATAAATATATAGTCTATGAATTATGTATTGTAATACTTAAATAACGCTTGGCTTTTTCGTTATCTAGATATAAATAATAATTATACCTGTGGATATAGTAGGTATATTAAGACCAGATGGGGGTCAAAGGTTTAACAAGTTTTATCCATGGAAGGTCCGAAAAATGTATGGAGTTTTATGAATTACATGATACAAAGGTTATATTAGATGGTAATGCCGTTTTATGCCAATTATATTACAATTATGTTAATACACGAAATGGATGTTTTGGTGGAGATTATGATAAATACGGTAATACAATTTACAAGTTCTTTCACATGCTTTTCCAATGTAAAATAACTCCATACATAATACTAGATGGAGGTTATGAAAGTCGAAAAATTGATTGCATATTGCAAACATTTAAGAATAGAATAGTTATAGCAGAAAATTTGAATCCTAGAACTGATCCAAGAAAAGAACCCAACCCTATTTTTCTTCGGGAAGCATTTGAAGATATAGCTCATAAGTTAGGAATTAAGATAGTAAGATGTGATTTTGAAGGTGATAAAGAAACTGCTAACATCGCTAAGGCCTTAAAATGCCCTGTAATAAGTAATGACTCAGATTTTTATATTTTTGATGTGCCCTATATACCATTTTCAACAATTAAATTGATTGTTGAGTCTGCTTCATATATAAATACAGAGACAAAAGAAAACCACAATTACAGATATCTTCCCTGTAAAATTTATAGAATAGACAAATTTTTAGAATGTGCAGGTGGAATGAGCAAAGAAGTTTTGCCATTATTTGCTGCTTTAGTGGGGAATGATTTTATGGATGGAATTAACATATCCAAACTTAATATGCAAGTGAAGTATTATAACAACTATAACAAAATTGAAGCTATAATTAAATGGTTACAGACAGAATCAAAAAATAGTGCAATAGAAAAAGTATTAAATACTTATAGACAACATGAACGTGATTTCATGAATAAAAAAATTGAAGATGCTATTATTGGTTACACATTTAAAAACAGTCAATATTTAAAGTATTTTGATGAGGGTATAAAAACTGATGAATTGGAAAATGGTTATGAAGAAGATAAATTCAATGATTTTGAAAAATTATTATATACTGTTCCTACACTTTTCATAGAGAAATTTAGGAAGGCTTTGTATCCTACCAGGTTTATGGATATATTTACACAGAATAAGTACTACAATTTTAGACCACAAGTTGAAGTAGCAGAATATGAGGATGCTAATGCAATAAGTTATGAAATTATGTCTGCTATTCATAAAATATTAACAAGTTCCTCAGAGAATTTGATTTGTCTTATAAGGAATCAGAGTGCTATGAAGGAGATAACATTACCTATATATCATATTGACCTCCCAAATTTAACAGAAATTGAATCAACTGAACTCATAGAAAGACAAGCATTGCTATTTCTCATTTTAAATATTGATGTAGACTTTTCCAAACAGTGTTTAGACCATTTTCCAGATTCTTGGCATTTACTTATTCTCACTTTAAAATACATGAGAAATAAATCTGTTTTATCTTGGTATGTTTTATATTCAATTATTATTGGCAAAATAGTAATTGATTATATAGATCCTAAGATTGGTTTTTTTCGATCTGAGGACGAATTTAATAATGAATTTTACAGTAAAATGAAAGGTATAATGACAAACAAAAAATCATTGCATTTAAAACATTCAAACAACTTAAAAGATGCCTTAGATAATATAACTTTTGAAGATGCAGTAATGTGTATGAACACAATTAAAGTATATTTTGAGTTTAATAGACAATTGAAAAGGGATTTAAAAATGTATGATAGAAAACTAATGCATTCATTGTCACAATTTCAAAGTTGCTTTCTTCATATGAAGAACCTTAATCAGTTGCTTAATTTGCCTTATCAGGATTTCCTTATAACAGAATGTTTTAATGGTACTTTTGTTTATAATTTGAGCTATAGCATGCTCAGGAGGGACAATCTAGATGAACATACCAAAGGTTTATTTCATAATGCACCATCAATATTAAATACTTTTGAAATAATTATTCATCTTATCAGAGAATGTGAGAAAAGCAGTTAATCATACACACATGCATATCTAATATTGTAAGTTCTTTTTTAAAAAATCGTTTATGTATTTTTATAAAAATTAAAGACATTTCAAAGGAAGGTAATAGTTTGAATTATAAAATAATAAATTATATCCTTGCCAATTAATTTGCGTATTGCTAAAAATTTTACAGCACCAAGAAAAGCTAATTGTAGGTAAATAAAGAGCTTCTATTCTATTTTAATTTTACATAAAGAATCATTAAAGAAACCTCAAGCAAGTAAACTGAACAGAATGGCTTGTAAAATTTAAGAAGTAAAAGTGGAGATGTCTGCAGTACGCGAATGATCCTGTGAATTATACTGTCATGAGTCTGTTTCAAACCAAACCAGCTTGGATCAAAACATGACCCAATACAATTAGTATTTCTTTAAGAGTTTCAAAAGAAAGAGAAAATCAAATTTGGCAAAATTGTGACTGTCTCAGTGAAATTTTCGTTGACACATCTACTCAGTTTTAAAAAGAAGGCAATACAGGATTTGTTATTATTTTATGGAGTATGTTAAAAACAATAATTTACTATAAATACTCATCGAGAAAGAATTGCTAACGCTCTGTACATACTTTGTTTATGCATTCTTCTGATTGTGCCATCTTCTTTTGAAAGACTGCTTCAAAAAAGATTTCTGCAGATCTTGTGGATTCCTGGGCATGCCATAACTATTGTATTTTCCTCTTTGATTGTGCTTAGCAGTTTTTTTTTTACTCATGCGCCAAAGTACCTCACCATTGTTAACTTTGTGTACCAATAAAATTCTCAGCATCTGTCTGTAGATATACATCTCAAAGTCATCTATTCTTTTTTCTGTATTAGGTACCATTGACCAACTTTCACAGCAAAAAAGTAAGGCAGAAAAAACACATCTGATCATTTAGCTGCTGAGCTTCGGACTAAAGTGTGATCTTGTAAAAAATGTTTTCATGTTCGTGAGTGTTTTCTTCGCTTGTTTGATTCTTGATAAAATTTCTTTTTTTTTTTGTTACACTGGCTGTTCTACAATTGCAATAAAATATTTGCTCCCAAATATTGTATGGCAATTATCTGTCACTTTGCGTACAAATGTATATTTATTGATTTCTTTGAAAATACTATAATGTTAGACACATTTAGGTTTAAACTTAACTTTTCGTTATGACGAATTACCGAATTTATTATACTTTGCAGTTGTTGTTGCTTGCTATTGAAAAGGTATGATCAGCATACCTAGTTTTGTTTATGTTAGATTTGATGTACATGACTCCATCTTGTACCTTACTAATACTTCTCTGAATATACACTCCGAATACAGATTAAATAATAGCAGTGTTAAGAATAACTGCAAATGAATGTATATAACTTGCTTAATCTGTCCGTAACGAAAACCCCAGCGCCACCTATCCACAAAAACTACTACCATATTTACGTACTTGAACCTGTGTTTGGTCATATGCACCTTTACATATCTTTTTCTAGGGTTATACAGAGATGCACCACCAAAGTTGGATACCTTATTACAAGGAAACTGCTGAAAGACAGCCACAAAGTGTTCACGAGAAATAAAGTAAACCTACACTAACGTTCTTTAATCTATTTTCGTCATTTATAACTTTTTTTTAATTTACTTCGTCGTGGATTAACAGTTGTATTATTTTTGTAATTTTTGTTTTTAGATATTTTAAAAATGTCTACAATGTTCCAATAAGTATGTAAGTAGTACACGGTTTTTTCAATAAATTTCTAAAATTAAATCTTTTCAAATGATAAAAATGTTGCCAATGTTAGTCCATAATATTAATATATAGGAGATGAGTCACAACCTTAAGTAGTTTTTTTATTGTTGTTGTACAATATATGCCAATCATCAGGCCCCAGTACATAAGTCTTTGTTTTGACAAAACTACAAGCTGAAAACAACATGAAACAAACAATAAAAAACGAATTCCAGAACAGAACTATTAAAATAAGCTAACAGCTATACTATTAACTAAGTGAGAGAATTGACATAATATATTGAGACATCAGTGCCATTGTTTATAACCAGTCTAGTGGGAATTACACAATAGTCAGTCATTAAATCCTATATTGATTTGTAAATTTAAAATAAAAGTTTTTAAATTAACTTGTATATAACAGAGTTACAATTTACATATCAGTCACAAGAAAGGTTCTTCTAATGTAGATAATTCTATAGATTACCACCACCCTTAACCCTTTAATCGGCAAAATAGAAATAGGGGATTAAACTTTCTGAAAATTTTGGTTTCGGGGTAATTTTGGTAAATGAAACACGAATAGAAAGTCCATTTTTCGATATCGTTATTGAGTCAGTCACAAAGTGAAAAAGAAGAATGCCGGCCATACGGCCGGTATATCGTTCTATAGGGGAAAATGAATTAGTCCTTTTTTGTTGCTTATAAAAACATTTAATTTTTTATTGATATAAACTTGATAAAAAAAATTAACAGGTAAATACTAAAAAATGAAATATATTAACGACGGACGTGGTAGTCTTTCCAACAATTCTTGGCACCGGAATAACATAAATGCAGTTGACATTTCGGGCAGAAAGTGTGTGTTTCCGATTTCTTGCAGTATTTGCAGGACTTTTTACGACCTGGAATCCATTCAGGAACATGATCAACTCCATCGTAACGTACATCTTCAACAGGATGCGCTGCCTTGTTGCCAGTATTAGTACTATTAGTAGTGAGCGGTGAGTTTGAAGGTCGACCAATGGGTCTTTTCTGAACAGAAGAGCACAGACCTTGAGCAATTTTCACACGAAATTGGAATAGTCTCATGTTTTTTTCTTTTGAAGTTCCTTCTTCTTTGAAATCTGTTTTCGCAGCATCCTCATTATGTGATCTGCGATACAATATGAACGCATTTGTGACAGCCATATCCAGAAAATGGTAAAAGATGCGTGTCATTGCATCCATTGTTTTAATGCGCAGTCCACTTCGTCCCATATGCGAGTCCATGAGGTCAACTCCTCCCATATGCGAATTGTACTCACGAATTATTTGGGGGTAGTCGACATCAATGTATTCTTTCTTTCTTTTGTCGTAACGAGTCGTTTTTGCTATCTGTTTGTCTGGATTCAATTTCTGAAATGGTTGGACCCCAACGTAAGTTGAACAAAGTTTTACGTTTTTGGTATCTTTCCAGAGGACAGTGGTAAGGTCCACACCATATGCACAACCCATATACTCCACTGCGTAACCCCGTTCGGCGTTTTTGATTTCTCTATCTGCATCCAGCGGAAGTTTACAATTGGGAATTCTATTTGCACGTATTGTCCCCAGTCCAAAGATTCCACGAGCTCGTAAATAAACTAAAAGGGGCAACGATGTGTAAAAATTGTCACAGTAAACGATATGGTTTTTGAAATTTGGAATTGTTTGTGACAACCTAATAACAACGTTGCTGGTAGCTCCGAGGTCTGGTGTTCCTGGCACGATGATGTTATCTCCAGCACCATTATATATCTCGAATTGGTACGAATATCCCGTGGTATCGCACAGTACAAACAACTTTATTCCCCATTTATGGGGCTTGTTCGGCATGTACTGGCGTAAATGGTGCGCCATTTTTGTCGAACACATTTGCTCGTCAACACATAACCGCGCATTCTTTGGAACGGAATTGAAGCGTTCATTTAAAATATTGGCAACTCTTCTAATTCTAAAAAGCGAATCATGTCCAGGTTGTCCTTTTTGAATACGCTCCGCTTCATTAGCAAAACACAAATATTTTTTTATCCGTTCAAATTTCTTTAATGGCATACACTGAGGAATTTGTCTAAATCCGAATTCTCCCCAGTGTGACTCCATGTTGGGATAACGAAAAATAGACATGTATAATAGAATTCCGATGTATCGTCGAATCTGCACCGCATCAACGTTGAATTGTGTGTTTATGTCTTTCAAACGTGCGTTTCGATTGGTTTCACAAACAATCAGGTCGATGAGTTCATCCGTGAAAAAATAACAAAAATACTCCATTGGTGTCTTCAGATTCTTTACAGTATACGGCAATGTAGTGTTTCCTCGAAATGCGACTTCATTGACATGCAATTGCATTGACTTTTTTCTCCATACAATTTTTGTGAACTCTGCTGAATTTTTGTCGATTGCATCCAAGCCTGAAAGAAAAAAGAGAAAAAAATTAGTATGGCATTATGACTTTCCGTGTTTTATTAGCATACCTGTGCCAGTGAAGCCACCCGCTGATGGTACTATATGTGGTCCCGTAGCTTCTACAGTTGGTAACGGGGATCTGGGTCTTTTCTTTGGTTTGAATTTAGTGGTTGTCGGTAGTTGTGTGGAAGTTGATGCAATTGGTTCTTTTGATGATAACCGTACGGATGATACTGAAACGTCCATTTGAGTATCCGGATCAGTTGTTGAAACTTCTGGTGATATAGTTTCGGATATTATAAGTTCCGGCAAAGTTAATGTTGCCGTTTCAGAAGTAAATATATTTACATGTGATTCTGAAACACCCACTAAATCTTCACTAACATCAGTGATATTACTTAGCTCTAACGGAGGGTCCATGGAGAGCTCCAAATCAGTGATATTTTCACGTAAACAAGAAGAAATCATCTCATCGTCCTCGGCTGTGAGCACATCCGCCTTGTAGTCATAATCCGGATCGGCTATGCTATCATCATCATCTTCGTAAACTGACTCGTCATCTGAATCCAGATTAGAGTTCATGATTTCGTCGATTTGTTCATCGGTTATTGTGGAAAGATCGTATTTTGTCCTCTTTTCCGCGTCTGTCAGCTCGTGATACCTTTTCGCACCATACTTTCTTCGTCTTTGAGATCTATTATTTTCCATGTTCTACGATAGAAAGAAAGAAATGTATAAATAATAAAAGTATAAATAATACAAATATGTACTTTTATTCAAATACGCGGAGAACTTATTTTACCGTACATCGGCAAGCCGGCCGAAAGGCGGGTATCACTCCACACTCAAAAACCAGTACTAATTTTATATTTTTCACCAAATATTCCAGCAAACTATCAAACACATACTATAAGTACTTACCAAAAAAAAATGAAATC